CTCTTTAATGTCTTTGGTTTTTTCAGAGGGCTACATTTTGGGCTTGACTCATTTTCTCCTGAAGTGAGATCCACTTGTTTTTTTTTTTTTTAATTTCTTTCCCTTCTTTATTTTTCTTTAGTTTTATATTCAAAAGTTTGATTGCCCCCTAAATTATTTCAAAAATATATAAACCTTTTATTGTTAAGTGAATAATGTTTTATATTTATATCCATTTATTGTTAAGTGAATAATGTTTTATATTTATATCCTTCTGTTGTTAAGTGAATAATGTTTTATATTTATATTTTACTTCTTATATACGTGATGTTTTTTAAACTTGCATGCATAACAAATTTAGTATTATCATTCCCTGTAAAAACGAAACGTATTATTAGTAATTAAAAAAAATAAAAAGTTTGTCCTGAAATTTTTATTATATGTTTTAAGAGTAATGTTAGGGATACTAATTTTAATCTCAACTTTTGTGTACCAACTAATGTAGTAGTGAGTTGTCATCATTTTATTAGTAGATATAATCTCTTTTATTAATTGACGTGGCAATCTTTTAAACACTCACCAATAGAAAAATGACAACTCATATGGCACATTAGTTGGTATACAAGAGTTGAGATTTGAGTTAGTGTCACTAGTATTATTCATGTTTTGATTAATAATTTTAGTTTTTTGTGCCCCCACTGGATTCAAATTCTGGCTCCGTCACTGTGTGTAGAGCATGTATATTTACATGTTAATACTTTATGATCTTTACACAAAACAAACATCATGTGTCGATAATTAAATGGTAACATCCACCCTAATACAACGTCCATTAATTATCTATCAATTAGCTAATACGTACGTCTCAGCATAACTACGTACTAGCTAATCTAATAATTTCTTTGGAGATCATAATCCAAGTTAGTTTAAAGGTTCACCATGAGGAAGTGGATAGCTAGCTGTGGAGTATTTTGATTTTAAGAATGTTAATAAATAATTGACTAAATTTCACCATAGTGGAAAAAAGGGGAAAAAAAAGATGTGGTAATCAAAACAAGTTAATTAATATTTACTAATAAACGAATCAATAAAAATCCTATATGCTAATACATATCATGAATAAAAAGTTTGATGATACATCATGACGTTATAATTCGTTAGAGATATCAAAAATAAGTTATATATCACAAAACAAAAGCAAATAATCATTTTTATTGAACTCGCATAATTTTGACTTATCAGCTTTCATCAGAAAATTTTTCATCATGTTTTCAATTCTATATTCTTTTTGTTCACATGTTTTTCATTCGATCAGAAATTCACAATCGACAATATAATCAACCAGATTTTGATTAGGGCCCAACTCATGCAGATCGGATTATCAGGTAACAAATTTCCATTTTGTTTGCTCATATAATCATCATAATAATATATATCCATACCTTTCACAATTATTTCATGGGAAGCTAGCGATCTTTTTGAGCTCCGAGAATATTTTATGTACATTAAGCAGAAGTAGTTGAAGGGCAACTCTCCTTTGGCGGATCATGATTCAAAGAAGAAGATCACACATAAAATGAATATGTATATATATATATGTATGTATATGTATATGTATAACATCTATTATAATATCATTGCCCTGCCAAAAGAGAGAAGCCCTACAACTAGTTCGCTCATCACTACTCAACTATATATATACACACACACATACGTACACATTTTGATCAGCAAAAAACCTCCAACTTTGGCTCTTCATATATATACATATATATATATATATATATATATATATATATATATATATATACATATATATAAATATAAGAGGAACGCGTAGAAAGCAGGCACCAAAGAATATCCATGGCATATGCTATAATCTCATATATATATATATATATATGCAAAAGAAGCTACTTTTTTTCCCTTTGAAAAGCTCATTACAAGAGTCTTTTTTAGATTCTGTTTGGGCTCTCTTTCTCTCTCTCACGCCCCAAAATAGAAGTTAGTGACATGGAGGTTACGATGCGGCATATATGACATTCATGAATTTCTCATTTTGTGATGCCGGTTGATTAATTGACCTACGACGGGTGATATCTCCTTTAATTGAAAAGAAATTAGATTGTTTAGTGGATTCTTGATGTCATACATGTATGCACAATCCGGTAGTTTTTAAACCTAAGGCTCTAATACCAAGTCTTGTCACACTCCGAAACAGGGGTTAGTGACGTGGATGCTTGTTTAGAAGTTAAATAAAATTAAGAAAGTAATTAAGCATTTAAAAATATAAAATCAATCTCAAAAGTCAAGCATTAAAGAAATTTCGAAACAAGTCCTACATTTTACTGAAATTAGATTACAAGAAAGTGAAGGGGACCTTCACAACATCTGATAAAATAGGTTTAAAAAATAAGCCTCTTGCATTATTCAGGGTTTCACCCACAGGATGTATAATATTATACATAAATGAATGTGTAAATAACATTTACAGACATCAACCAAGGTCTAGATATTCAAAGTTTACTGACTAAGAGTTTACAATTCTTACATTATTCAACAAGGATGAAAGAGTGCAATTCCTTACTTTATACTACACCAGCTAGGCTACATGAGCGTGCTTCTCACTCAACACTACTTTTAGCGTCGCCTGGGAGGGGTTTAATATATATAGAAACAAGAAAACATGAGCAGAAGGCCCAGTAGGATGTATTTTAAGAAAACTTTATAAACAAGTAAATAAATAAATAAAGATATCCAGTTCCAACACAACAGTCGGAACCTAACATCCTTTTTTCTGGAAGGAAGTATAAACTTTAAATTCCGTATTACAAACATCATCAAGTAATTTTTACAATGATAAATTACTTACACAACCACAAGCACAAGCCTTAACACCACCGTAGTAGCCCGGTCCGGGTTTCGGGTTCTGCCCCCGAGGATACGCTCTGTATATCCTATCTAGGCCATCAGCACGCTTACTAGTTCGCAAGATATCTTATCTTAAGAAATCATTCATTAAAACTTTGAAACAGTTCATTATGATTCCAATAGCTAAAATCAAGCTATTGTGTTAAAATATTTTTCTTTATCAATTATGTCCTTTCTTTAAAGTATTTTGTTAAGGCCAAAACTCTTAAAACAGACTAACAAAGAAAAGAGACAAGAAATCCTACCTCTCAAGTACCAAATCTGCTGCTAGCATTGTGCTATTCTAGCTTCCGCTTTCTCAAAGCCTTCAATCCGATTCTTCAAATAGCATTTACACAAAACAACGTTTTAGGATTCAATCCTTATCCCTAAAATGAATTAGTCTCAATCATACATATTGATTTCTTATTAGTGTGCCTTAATCAAATTTCAAGTTTCACAAATCATTTCATGTTTCAAATTATTATTTCAAGGATTTTGATCTCAAAACATGGATTAAAGATGCTAATCCATCTACTTTAGGTTTCCAAATGAAGCTAATTTGGGTTCTCTTTGAAAACTAAAGTCAAAATAACATTTTAAGGCAAATACGGTTCAAATCACGTGTGCACCAGTCGACCGGTGACAGAGAAGTTGTTCTTCACCGGTCAGCCGGTGAAGAAGGGACCGATCCACCGGTAGAGTTTTGTAGCTCGTGGAAAAATGACCGAACTGCGAAGAAAAACTCCAAAACCTACAAATTTGAGTTTAAATCTGAGATATTTCAAAGGAAAACTACCAAATCCAGGTTTCAATTATTAAATCAAGTTTAAAGAACTAAAGATCCCCAATTCTTATTATGATTTCAACCAAAACTCTTCAAATTCCAACTCAAACTGAAAATAAGTTCTATCAAAGGAAAATTTAAGATTTTAAGAGAAGTTTTTCAGAAATCTTACCTCAAATTCTTCCTTTGATGTTGAAAACTTTTTGAAGTTCCTCTTTGGTTCAAGATCTTGGGAGATTGTGACAAACTTTTGAGAGAGAGAGAGAGAGAGAGAGAGAGAGAGCTATGGGAGAGAGAGTGAGAGAAAAGAGAGAGATGTGGGAGAGTGAGAGGGTAGAGGGAGAAGGAAAAAAAGAAAAGAAAAGGTAAAAAGATAATCATTAAAGATATTTAACAAAAAAGACTAGAAATGTGTCTCCACTCACTTTTAGGGTGAAAATATAAATACTGAAAATGTTTAGAATCATTAAAAATATTTAAACTTAAATATCAAAAATATTTAATGAACATAATTAATTAATTAAATCAGATTAAATACACTAATAAATTTTAATTACCTTAATTAATCCTAGATCTGAGCCTCTTCAAGGGTATATCCTGTGTCATATTCTTTACCTTTTTCTTTTTCCTTTTTTCTGTTTCTTTCTCTTGGGGAGTTATTGTCATTGGTGTTTGAAATTGAAACTCCAAATGGCAGTTTCATGTAGGTCCAAACATAATGAAGCGGTCCAAACATAATGAAGCGTCCCAAACAATGAAATACATGTATACACACATGCATACACCATATTTACATATATATATATATATATATGTATATATTTCTTTGAGGTGATCGCCAATTTATAAGACAATTTGGAGTGTCATCATGACTATTGGATAAATTAATCACTATTATTAGTATTCTCGTTTGTATCTGTTTAATGTTAAAACATTTATCTACTGTTTTCTTTTAATTTGTTGAAGAGTCAAAATATGTTGGTTTTACTAATAAGATTCACTAATCTTTTTAGTAAAAGATTACTAAATTTATGTGTAACAATATTATGTAATGTATGTGGATGTTTAATATTTCCGAAAGTTGCATTACCTATAAACCTGTCTCGAAAATCTTAAAATATATGCCTGTATATATGATATAAAATGACATTTCTATGACTTGTAATATGGGGTCTTTTTTTTTTTCTCCAGTGATCTGCATAAAACTAATCATTACATTAATCTTGAAACAATTCACAACCAATGTTGAGTGCTAATGAAAAGAGTACATAACATGCAAAACACTCTCAACATCCTTTTGAGAACTACTTAATCAAATTCTGCAACAGCAAATCTCACAATGAGAGTGCTATTTTTGAACCCTTTTGACACAAGAACTGTAAGTTCTGGTATTTCTTTCAATAGAACAACTAACGGCCATGGTTTAGGAGAAGAAAATTGCACTAAGGATATTGATGAAATGGTTACTTTGATTCCTCCGCATCAAGTCTCTCACCTAGTATCCTCACTCCCATGTACCTGAAACATGCAGAATAATTTATGAAGGAGGTATCAAAGCATGTATAATTAATATATATATATATATATATTATCAAATTATGTGTAGTTTCAGTTACAATTCAATTAAATGTTACTATGTATGGCAAATGATTATTATTGTCAAATAACATTATATGATTGTATTGATGGTATTTAGTGTATGTATTCTGTGACTATAGCTAAAATTGTTACCTAATATATATATATATATATATTATCAAATTATGTGTAGTTTCAGTTACAATTCAATTAAATGTTACTATGTATGGCAAATGATTATTATTGTCAAATAACATTATATGATTGTATTGATGGTATTTAGTGTATGTATTCTGTGACTATAGCTAAAATTGTTACCTTCCGAGCATCATAACGGTGGCTTGAGGGTTAGTTCCCGGAGAATAACTAAAAGTAGAACCATCGATGACTCGAAGGGCATCAACACCGAGAACCTTGTAATCAGTATCTACCACCCTCCCAACCTGGCAGCCTCCATGGTAATGCCATATGGTCATGACTGTGTCCTTACAAAATTGCTCCAAAGAAGTGGAGGAATTGGCATGTTTGGGCAGCAAATTTATTGGTGAACTTGCCGTCATGTTAAGTAATGTCGGTACGGACATATAGTCATATCTAAATCTAGAAAAGGATTTTGATTCAATTATCCTTTCTATGGTTGAGATGCCTTGGACGCATCTTTGCAAGTCTAGGGTTTCTTTGAAGTAGTTAAAGGTTACGGCCGGGTTGTCATTCGGGTTACGGGTTCGGAGCTCCAGATGGCCCGTGGAAATCGGGCCCATTATTTTCTCGAGAAGGAACCCTCCCCTAAATGCCGCATCCTCAAGACTGTCCATAAGTTGCACAGCTCTAGCTAGGGCCTCTGGGGTCCTTTCCTTTGGTGGCACAGTGGCCAGCTGGCCTATCTGAAAGTATGAACAAAAAATTAATTTAACTAGTAAGAAATCACCACCACTAATAAGATTTGTTAATTAAAACTAATAATGTGCAAGTACTGTATTGGTAAGAGTAATATCTAATTCTGGGGAATTGGTATTCGAATATACGATTTCTATAAATAAAATAAAATAAAATAAAAAAAGAGTTCAATTTATACATAAAAGTGATACAGGTGAAAAATTAGATTTCAAAAATGATATCTAGCTTAATTTACATTGATTACCATTAGTAATGAATTGCAATCCTCTTATCTAATTTAAATTTCATAATTTATTTACAGGGTTAATTGATATTTGGCCCAGCAGAATTTATAATACCTTAGGAGAGAACATCCCATAATCTCTTGGATTACCGCCGGCGAAGTTCTCGCCGCCGGCGGCTTCAATGTAGCTTCCAAAGCCGGTGATGCCCACTACTTCAATTAGTGAAACCTCAACAGGGATTGGAGAAGGGATGAAAATGGAATTCATGGGGTTGTCCGACATGCCTTGACCAACCATGGGCTGGTCCAACACCACGGTGATGTTGTGGGCCTGAAGATGCTGTGCAGGGCCCACTCCACTAAGCATTAGGAGTTGTGGGCTTCCAAGTGCACCAGATGATATGATTATCTCGCTTCTGGGCCCATTCGTAAGGTAAGCCCTGTGCCTGATCCCTGATGCGTCTCTGAAGGCCACTCCATGGGCCGAAGGCCTTTGTCTCCCTATTTAAATTTATGAATTCGAAAACAACGGAAAATATAAACTGATAAAACCACACCTGATTATAGAGTTTAGATACGTCAATCTTAAAAAAAGAAAAAGAGTAATGAGCATATGAAGTATTCTTGTTTTAATAATAATTATTAAGGGTGGCAATTCGTGTTAGTGGATTATGTTTGTGTCAATTCGTTTATTAATTGTGTCAGAAAACATCAATCTAAACACAGATATGTTTATTAAATGTGTCAAAAATGTCAACCCAAACATGACCCATTTATTAATTGTGTTAATCGTGTCAACCTGTATAACCCGTTTAAATTATTATATTAAATAAATAACTAATATAATAATGACTTATTTAACACGGTCAATACATATTTAATATATTTATTAGTCAATTTATCTTTTCCTTTAAGAAAAAAAAATGAATTTTACCTACAAATATTAAAATTCACATTATTTGTATTTAATATGTCATATAAACTTTCATCTTATATCACATATCATTAGATTGCAGATGACACATATAGTTAATCATGTCAATTCGTGTCACTTTGTGTTAGGAGGTCAATCCTAACCCAACTCTTTTATTAATCGTGTTAATCATGTCAATCCAATTATGACCTAAACTCATTTATAGTAAACTCAAACCCGCTAACTTCGTGCAGATTTCGAGTTTTGTCGTCGTATCGCTATCCGAATTACCAGCCCTAATAATTATCACTATTAGTTTACTCAGTCAATTGAACAAAAAATATATTACACATTTCAAATGTAACTTTTTTAATCTATTGGAAAATTGGTGGAATGGTGAGATTGGTTACATACCTTTCGTTCTAAAGAGGACCTTATGCACAGTTGCATGCAAAAGAACAGTAAGCCCTGTAGGATTAGCATATTGTAGCAAGTCAGCAGCAGTGTGTCTATGCCCATCCCTATCAAAGATGGTCCCTCCAACCTTGGTCCCAACTATATGGTCGTAAGTGAACCCGTTGTACGGCTGCACCCCGACTTCTAACAGCCCGTCGCGCACCGCCGACTGCCACTGCCCCATCGGTGGCTCGAACGCCACCACCCGCTCCACCCAGTGGTATGACTCGTTCACTAGCCGTCCGTCCCACCCCACTTCCCTGATGTATATTGTTTCGCATAACACAGTAATTTGTTCTTCGTAATTTCGGTAGGAAAATTAAAAATGTAAAATAAAAAAAAAATCCTTGACATGACTAATTTGTAAGTACAATGTTGGTAATATTTCAAATCTGGTATTGAAGTAAAATAGTAATGATTTTCACACAAGACCGAAAGAAACTGCATTAAAAAAAAAATCTAGATAATCCCAAGTAAATAGACACATGGGTAAATGCAATTAGGATAAGAAAATATGGTATGCTATCATGAAAAGTTTTATCGTGGTAACTATCCTAATTAAGTTATGTATTAAGACTCTGTAAATTCTTAAAAATTCAAACTATTATTTTGTCACAATTTTTTTCTCTCAAATTATTATTATTATTTTTTTCTCGAAGTACTCCTAACAATAGGTATATATGCTCATTTTATGTATGATTGATCGTAAAGCAATTTGTTCTTGACGTGTCTTATTTTTCTATACAAAAATAGGTACCTCACATAATCAGTGCCGGCGCGTGTGTAGAATCCAGCATTGAGGCAGCTGCCGCCGCCTAAGACACGGGCGCGTGAGTTGATGACGCCGTCCTCGGAGATGAAGCGTTGGGAAGGCGAGGTCGGTGAGGTGTCGGAGAGGGCGGCGCCAAAGGCAGAGAGGTTGGTGATGTTGGGATTGCCATAGGGCGAGCCGCCACGCTCGAGGAGCAAAACGCTGTAGTTTTGGGAGAGAGTGGCGGCCAAGGGACAGCCGGCGGTGCCACCACCGACGATGATGTAATCATAGTATGATATGTCCGGAGCTGTGGTGGCATTGTGCATGAAAGTGTAGTTCGGACCTATAAATTTAAGAGACGCATGCAATTCAATATGTTTATACGTAAAAAATATATATACACACAATAAGATAATGGCAAAAAGAATGTTAAAAATCAATTGTCCTAAAGTTGTATCTCTGGTTAATATATATCTGACTTTTGAAGACCGTACTATAGAAATATGTGGCAAATATTTCAGTAATTACAAGAAGCACGCCCGTTCGGTTCGCTAATTTGAGTTTTTAATTCAAGTTGAGATGTGATGTTGTATGAGAGCTTTTTACTGTATCAAAAAAGTTATATATGACAGTTTCTGAGAGCTTTTTACTGTGACAAAACTTAAATTTTAAACTCGAATGAGCAAAAAAAACGGGGAATGAATTTTTCAACTGTCTTTTCTTTTCTTTAATAAAAGTCTGTAAGCGAAAGTTTGATAGAGGATGAGGTTATTAGTGAGTACGACTTAGTTGGGATGTGTTGGTTTTTGTTATAGTAATTTGTTAAAAAAAAAAAAAAGTAATTATAAAAGCACATTAGACATAACTTAGGAGAAAATGAAATTACTTTAACTGCAAACCAACAAAGAACGTGAATCGAAAAACAAAAGGAAAACTGATCATATATCATATATGATATCTATCTTTCAGCCAAAAAAATAACAAATAAAAGGGAAGAAGAGAGAGAGAGAGAGAGAGAGACTAATACCTTTTTGAGCGGCAGAAAGTGAAGAAAAGAAGAAAAATATTGATCCAGTTAGAGCAGCAGCAAACAATCTCCACCGTCCAATATTGTCTTCCATTATTTCTTCCGCTTGCAGATTAATTATCCTAGTACTCCTCAAAAACCACAGCTTAATTTCTGTATATCCAATATATTCTGAACATGGGTTTGTTAAAAAGCTTTCCTTAAATACAAATTTGATAATAAACCAAACATGCCAATATTAACGTACGATCTCAACGGCGATAAACTTTGACGAGCACAAAGGTTATTTCTTGCTAATTTCTTCTTTGTTGGCGATCTTAACAAGGCCAGTAGTACAAAAGTAACTCACGTTTACCAAAGCGCTCAAAGATTCAAGAAATGCATGCATAATATGTGAGAAGAATCAAATTACCATATACCTCTTATCTCGCCTATTTTTTAGGCCCCCAAAAAAAAATGAGACAACAAAAATGGACACAAATTTTGGTCCGAAAGTAGTAGCTAGGAAAAGAGAGCTAGGTGATATATATCATAATAATAATAATTCTATGTTGAAGTTTAGCTAGCTTTAATTTAGTCATGTCATGTTGTGGTTGTAATCTGATCACCTGTGTTTTCAGAGAAAGGTGTATAGGTAGTTAGGATTTTTAATTAATAATTATAGTATAAAAATTAGTGATACAATTAATCTGGATATGCTTTTATAGGCCAATTGGTAGATGATCAATACAGCTTCAATTGGCTCACTTATAGCATGAACATTTCGCTTTACGTCATTTTAATTTCTCCTTTCTGATTAATATCGATACAAATAGATCTTTTTTTTTTTTTTTTTTTTTTCGGAATTATGGAAAGCTAGAAGGGATAAACTAATAACCAACATCATTACGAAGCGAGTGTACGGGTCATCTAAATTGGAGGCTCATTATACAACAACCTGCAACCTCTATCAAACTCCATCTCACCCAGACTCCCCAATACCACCAGACCAAGTGGTCTTAGGCTCAACTTTTCTATTAATAAGACTTATGGCTTGTCCAATTGATTTTTGGAAAAAGAAAAAAAAAAAGAAAAAAGAAGTTAGTTCTTTCGGTCAATCACTCCTTCTTGGACTTTGTGATTGTCGCCTGACTTTGTAATGGTTAAAAAACTTCATTTTTAACCGTTAAATCTTGATTATAAACCATCTGTTTTATATATATTTTTTAATTTAATATGATTTTGTCTAGATTTAACGGTTAAAAAGATACAATTGGTGGGAGGTCTTACCGAAAAATGACCTTAACAGAACTAAGAAGTTAATCAGCAAATTTTTGCTTAATCGGCCAATTAATCACTAAACTAAAGTGGTGGTAAAGGCTTAAAAGGTTTAGTTAACTGTATGGAGGAAACTCAATCACTTTTATTCGTTCTCTCATAATTTCCAAGTCACTTTGTTCTTCAGGCTAATATTTATGGCTCAATGATGAAACAAAACAACTTTTGGTACCACATCTGACGTTGGGAACATGAATGCCCTTTTCATTATAAATATACGCAGATGATCTCACTTATACCAGATAGATGAAGTAAATGATGGACTTTTTTTTAATTATTTTTACTTATTTATTTATTTATTTTTATGATTGAAGTGGATGCAGTGGTTGTGTTTCTATTAATGCATGCAATAAAAGAATGACGATTAAAGGTATCACATATTTGAAGATCAACATGATCGTCGTTTCCAATCTTCCATCATCTTCATGAGCTGATGTATCTTTCTATATTCTCTCGTAATTCAGGGTGTCGTCGTTTCACGAATACTTTCGCTGTTTCTGATATTAGGCCTTTTCTTTGTAATGTCGTTTTTTTTACTAAGGTATTTAAGATGTTGTCGTTTTAGGAATCTTCTGTCATTTTTCTAATTATTGATGCTTTTTAAACATGTTGTCATTTTTTAATTATTTTCGGGAGAAGTCAGAGCTGTCATTACCAAAGGTATTGTCGTTTTTGAAAATATTAAGATTAAGATTTCGTGTTTTAAATCTGTTTTTCCTTTTTGGTTGAAGCATTTTAAAGATGTTGCCATATGATTAATTTTTATTCTGTGTTTTCTTCTGTTAAGACGCTGAACGTTCCAGTTGGAGAGGTAGAGATGGTAACATTTTCTAAGATGTTTTAGTTTTTAAGAAATGTCGTTTTCATTATTTTCTTCTCTATGTTGTCGTTTTCTCAATGTGATGAATTTCATAAATAACCATCAACTATCAACTATGCATCTTCGTTGTATTAAAGATGTTATCTTTTTTTTTTTTGGTGGGGGCTGGGGGGACCGCGAATTGTTTCTTTTATCTTCAAACAAAAATAAAAACTAAAAAAACTTTTTTAATTTATTTTTGCCAATTTTCCCTTTATTAATCCTTATAGCTGACACATCAATATTCCATCGACGTAAAAGAAAAAATAGACCCAAGGAATTTTTCTAAAGTATTTCCACAAATGAAGGACGAAATATGCACTTTTTTAAAAACAGGGGCAAGCTGACGTAGGTACATTTATAAAATTCATCCTTCTTAAACATGGAATGATGTTGTTTATAAGAATATTGGCCAGTTTGGTATTGATTCTAGGAGCTCAAAAGCACTTATTTAGTCATCTACAGTTGTCATGTGTCATGTGTGTTTGGTAAAAATTCAAAGAACTTTCGATATTACCCTATCACCTCTGCTGAATGAAAATAATCTCATTCCCAAAAAAATTTGCTATTCGCGGTGTCCCTTTAATCTTCGCGATCTCCTCTCTCTCCGTTCTCTAGGTCTCCCTCTCTCTCTCTCTTCATGCTCTCTATCTCCGTTTGTCTCTCTTCTCTCTCTGTTCTCTCAGTCTCCCTCTGTGGTTGCCAGGGTTTCTGATCTCCTCTTGTGATTGTCGGATTGGCAGACTCTTTCCTCTCTCTTTATTCTCTCGGTCTATGCTCACTAGGGTTTCCTGATTTCGCCGTTGGATTGTAGGATTTTCGATTGGAGCTCATCGGATCAATAGCCTTTGTAAGTACTCGACTGATCTTCATTTGTCACCCATTTGGGTTATGTTTTGACCAGAATTTTAGATTGCTCTCAGTTATATTTTCAGATTTATCTTCATTTGTACAGATTTAGTTATCTTTTCTCTCGATTGGGATTTCCGGTTAGAATGTTTAATTGCTGCTCCATTATTTGGATGCAAGAACTCTTGCAGATTCATCATAACGCAGCGAAGTTTCACTCTCGGGGAATTGAACCAGAGTTGGAAGAAAAGTTATATGGGATGTTTACAAAGATTGTAGCCATGGGAGTGTGTTCTTGAATGCCCTCATCCGGAGTGGTTCCATGTGAGCCTGATAAAAATGCAAATGATAATAAGGCTCAACCTGAAGATGTTGGGAGTAGTAATAACTCAGATGAACCTATCCACAGTGAAGGCGCACAAGACCCTAAGAAGAAGCGGCCAATTGAGCCACATGAGAGACAAAATAAGAAAAGCAAGAAAGGTAAAGGCAACTTGAATGTTAGAAGAGCTGCTAAATTGTCCGAACAAATTGATCACCTTGTCGATGTGGTTGAGACTATAAGTATCGGATCATCCATTGCACAAACTGAAGCACCAAATTGTAGCATTACAAAAGTTATTGAAGTCCTTGATTCTCTACCTGGATTAGATATTAGGAGGGAGTTGTATTTTTTTATTGTCCACTTGTTCTCAGATCAGAATAAGAGAGAGTCACTTATGGCTTTGAAACAACCTGAGTTAAAGCTCACGGGCCAGGATCATCCTCTTAAATTTTCTTTATTGTGCCTTTAATAACATGTTCTTTTAGTGTGGTTTTCTTGCTCTATGTTTTAGACATTGTTGTTTTATCAATGTTTTAGACATTATTGTACTAAATACTATACTTTATTTGTATCCATTACTAATGTTATTTTCCATTATTTCAATTGAATTATGTTTAAATGCAGGTTGCTTCGTTGTTAATAGATGACTGACAATAATGACTAACTTACTTTACAACTTGTTTGTATTATAGCTCGACTTATTGAACAATATTACAATATGTATATTCATAAAAATCCTTGTATGAACTCTGCTCAAACTGGAAACATGTGGGTAATGGAATTATTAGGCGGACATGAAATTAGAAGTTATAGAATGTTTAGCATGGATAAAGATGTGTTTATGAAGCTATGTAATTATTTGCAATGTTACTACAGATTAGAGAGATCAAGAAATATGTCTGTGTTTGAAATAATAGGAATGTTTTTATTCATTTTAGGTCAAGGTGCGGGAAATCAT